CCGTAGCGCTAACATGCTATTTACACCCGGGTGTCCGTAGCTAACAATGCTATTTACACCCGGGTGTCCGTAGCTAACAATGCTATTTACACCCGGGTGTCCGTAGCTAACAATGCTATTTACACCCGGGTGTCCGTAGCTAACAATGCTATTTACACCCGGGTGTCCGTAGCTAACAATGCTATTTACACCCGGGTGTCCGTAGCTAACAATGCTATTTACACCCGGATGTCTGTAGCTAACAATGCTATTTACACCTGGGTGTCCGTAGCTAACAATGCTATTTACACCCGGGTGTCCGTAGCTAACAATGCTATTTACACCCGGGTGTCCGTAGCTAACAATGCTATTTACACCCGGGTGTCCGTAGCTAACAATGCTATTTACACCCGGGTGTCCGTAGCTAATAATGCTATTTACACCCGGGTGTCTGTGTATGTATCTTTAATACATACACATTTAATAATACATATGAAATATAAATAATAAAAACATTTTATTCAAAAATTGAAAAAGCAGCCGTTGTTGAAATAAATAGGACAGACTAATAAAAAAAAACCTTTCATGAATAAAAGTCTGAACCCCCCGCCTGCAGAGAGAGGGGACAGGCATCCAGCTGTGAGCGAGATGGTGTTTTTGTTGTCACTTGTAAACAAAAAAGTGCATTGTGGGTAATACTGAAATGTCCCGCTGCGTCTCATCAGGAACCTTCAAACTTTGGGGTCAATCCATCCAGGTGAACTGGGCGGAGCCTGAGAAGGACGTCGACGAGGACGTGATGCAGAGAGTTAGAGTGCTCTATGTGAGTGTGTGTGTGTGAGAGAGCTCTAGGTGAGTGTGTGTGTCAGTGTGCTCTAGGTGAATGTGTGTGTGTGTGTTTGTGTGTTTGTGTGTCTGTGTGAGTGCTCAACGTGAGCGTGTGTGTGAGTGGACACAATATTCACAGTATTTTCTTTCCTAGGTTTTTCTAATTTCTTGTTATTTTACAATCAATTTACAGGTAAAACATGTGTATTGTGTCTGTCTTCATATCTCTGTCTCCGAGCCGCTCTATCAATAAAGTTTTCCCATCACACTCCTTCCCTCCCAGGTGCGTAACCTGATGCTGAGCACCTGTGAGGAGACTCTTCGTCAGGAGTTTTCTCATTTCCGCCCGGGCAGCGTTGAGCGCGTCAAAAAACTCACGGACTACGCCTTCGTTCACTACCGTTGCCGTGACGACGCCATCAGCGCGCTCAGCCTGATGAACGGCGCGCAGATCGACGGCGCCACCGTGGAAGTGACGCTTGCAAAACCTGCGGGACTCAAAGAGGGGCGGAGCCAAACTGCGCCGCCAGGGCCGGGGCGGAGCTACAGCAGCAGCAGGGGGTACCTGGGGAGCCAAAATGGAGGGGGAGGAGCCTATGTTCTCCACAGGGAGGGAGGTGGGAGGGACTTATGCTCCCCCCTCAGAAACATGCCCCTGCCGCCACGCCTGGGAAGCCCCTATTTCTCAGGTGAGTCATTTATTTTTTTGTTATTTTATACATTTAATTGAAAAATATCCAAACATTGTTTTGTATTTTCTCTCCACATTACATTATTTCAACCGTGTTGCATGATGGGAGAATAACACTGACCTTATGTTTCTATTATAATTTACAGCAAAGCGTAAATTAAACTAATTAAATATCGAACCGAAGCAGAGAATCTGAATATTGAGGGTCGTTCAATGAAAGACGTTCCTCGCTCCCAGATACTAAATATCCTCTGTTCCCAGGAGAGAGAGAGAGAGAGAGAGAGAGAGAGAGATAAATATATGTTCTTTTCTCCTAATGTCTTCCATCTCCGCAG